CCCGGGCTTTGCGGCTGTAGGAAAAGGGGTTGGGTTTGGGGATAAAAGAGGGGATCGGTGCTGATTTTCCAGCAGGGAAAGGAGTTTGGAGACAGCAGAGCTGGAGGAGGTCACTGATAAATTAAAATCGGAAGATTTGTGGATATATTTCAATATAAATTAAAATCGGGAGATTTGTGGATATATTTCAATATAAACTGCCCGGAAATCGCAGGGATTCTGCCCATAGAGCCAAATCCTGCTCCCATGGGATTTTTGGATGGGAAAAGGTGATTTTTTTTGATCCCGAGGGGGTTCCAAGGCTGTTTGGAATTGTTTTCCAAACAGAATCTCGGGAGGAGCAGCCACAAATAAAGCGGATCCTCGGGAAATCTATCACGACAGCTCCTCTCGCATTTTTTTCACGGAATTGGGAAGATTTTGCTCCTTTTGGGTGCTCCAGACTTTGCTGTTCAAAGCGTTCAGGTTTCTTAAATAAATCGAGGAATTAATTTGAGGTTTGGGCTGAAATTCCCAGCCTTTTCCAYGCCAGGRTTTCCSTCTGGAGCTGCTCTCCCTGAATTTRTRTCAWCCCCAAGCTTGGAGCAGCTTTGCAAAGCAAAAAACACTTTGGACATTTTTCCCTTTTCCCAAGTGCATCAAAGTTTGAGGAAAACCCTTAAAATGCATTTTAAGAACACCCGACCCTTTTGTTTCTTCGCTTTTCCCCCTGAAAGCGGCGTTTTCCCGAAGAGCTCAGGGATAGAAATCATTTCCATTTTCAGGAGGAGGCAGAGCAGAGGTTGGGGCGATGAACGCAGAACATCCCCCAGGGATGCTTCTGCCTCTCCTCTCTCCAAAAAAACCCCATTTTAATCCCCAAATTCGCATCATAAAACCTCGGGGGGAGGATTTGCGAGCGAAGGAGGAGCTGAGGGGCTGCCGTGACCCCGGAGATCGGCGGGGAAGGGAGAAGGCAGAGGCCGGAACGCGGCGGGAGCCGAAGGGCGGACACTCCCGCGGGGCTCTCTCCAATCAGCCCCGGGAGGTTTGGCCGCTCCCGGATAAATGAGGAGCGGGAGGGGCGCGGGGGCGGCGGGAGGGAGCGGGGGACGAGCGGTGC